TATGGTTTGATTTCTTTGTATGTATGGATCACTTGGGTTGTTACCAACATCTGGTGGAAATTTCACGTCATTAGCACCTCTAGTAATATATTTACTGAGAAAAATGTTGACGTGTTCAGTACTTATTTTACCCGCTTTATTTTGCTAACAAGACAGACAAATGAACACAAACATGAGGAAATTGTTGCCCTTTTCCTTTTAATGGTGGGAATGAAGTAAAGTGAAAAAATAGTTGTTTAAATGGATCTATTTCTTCACAGCTGCATGGCTTCTTCAAAGGCATGTTGTTACCTATGACCACAGTCTCTCTGACGTCCTCCGTGGTGTTTGGCACGTACAGAAACTGCCTGCAGTGTATGAAGCAGGCGCGGGGGGCCGACTGCGTTCCAAACACCAAACTAGAAGTCTTCCTGGCTGGACTGGCAGGAGGTATAGCCCAGGTAAACGATTCACAAACAAATCTGTTGCATCATGTCTCCGAATTGTTATATTACCAGTAAGTTTAACTGTTCGTTCCAGTTATRTCTTTGTGTTAGACACATGACCAAAAACACAAAAAGAGAAAAACTTAGCGCTTACTGTCAGATTGAGCCCAATAAATCCAGATATCTGCCTCTGAGTCTGTTTCCCTGCCTCCCGACAGACGTCCGTGATGTCTCCAGGTGACGTGGTGAAAGTGCGCCTCCAGTGTCAGACGGAGTCAAAGCGAAGAGGAGCCAAGGTACTGAAGTACCACGGCCCGGTTCACTGTCTGTTAAGCATCGTAAGGGACGAGGGGTTTAGGGGGCTTTATAGAGGGGCCCTCCCACTCATGCTGAGAGACGGGCCATCGTACGCGACATACTTTTTGACTTATACGACCATCTATGAATGGTTGTCAGGCGGCAGCATGAAAAAATTAGGTGAGTATAAAATACTGTCTCTTCATGGGTGTAATTTGCACTCACAATAATTTGATTCATTGAATGCACCCCCCCCCCCCAATATAATTATATTATTATATTGCATCATTTGCTCTAATGCAATAGAAATTAACTGGTTAAAGGAGACCAATTATGGGTCCTAGAAATGTTTATGGTATGTCTGTGGGCTATCCAGACCATGTTCATTTAATTTAA